AACTTCATCTGAAGGTTGGTTATTTGGTAACGATGTCATTCGCTCATAAAATGTTATAAATGGGTAGGTTTCTGGACTAAGCTACAAAAGCTTCTTAAATATGCTACCTGATACTAAATACACTAGACTGTCTAGTCAAAACAGTGGATCAAATAAATCTTGCCTCTAACTTCTTTCTACACTCCATTTAACTCCTAAGAGAGTTTTCTCTTTTAGATTCCTATTAAACATCGTCTTACTCTATTTCTTCACAACAAACCACCTCAACTAGGTGTAAGAACTTAGGAGGAAAGTGATCCATTAGCTTATTTGCATTAATGTATATATATTTTCAGAAAGGGACTGCTGAATCTCCAGTAAGTGAGATTTCTGGCAATTTTAAAAGACAGATTACAAGAAAATTCAGGCAATGTGGAAAGGCTTTCTTCTTTTCTTTTTCAGTAGTGGACTGGTGGTGATAATATAAGGGGGCCTAGAAAACACCACCAAATAGAGTAGCTTTACTAAGGAGCGTCTCCCTACCTAGAGTCAACTCTCCTAAGCTGGTAAGGTTGCATTTCAGATTCTTTCTTTGATGCCATGATTCCAGAGCAGCTGTAGCATCAGAATTCTGAAAGATGGTGTGGAGGCCTACGGCAGGGGTAGCCATCTGTATGTGGAGTTCATTTTAAATAAGAGTCCATATTCAATGCACGCAGTAAAGATTATAACTTTAGAATCTGTTTTATTACAAGGAAAAATTTAGAACAGCTGGAAAAAACTTATTACCTAACTGAATCTTTTTGAAAATCCAAAGGGAACCAGATAAGTTTAAATCAATTGGTCATTTTATTGTAAAAATGTATCCAACTTACCATTCCATATTTTTTTCTCATATAGGAAATACACCAAAACAATAATGACAAAAATTATTTTATTTTAGGCTCTTTCCTTTTCAGATCACGGGCTTCAAGATATTTAGGGATTAATCAAGCTCTGATGCCCTTGATGCATATGCTGAATAACAGCACACATTTTATTCTGCAGCCAATTTCCCAGATGAACTAAAGATGATGCTTTCTTTTTTGGCCAGAAAAAGCAAAGGACAAGATATACTACAGATAACTAATGTGATCAATGGCAAAAATCAGTAATACAACACACACACTTTCAATTACAGTGAACATAAATACCATTACAAGACGATGTCAGAATGCCAAAATTAACTAAACTAACGAAAAGCAATAACAACTCAAAATGGCTTTTCTCCCACTAAAAAGTAAATACAGAACCCATGTTAAGAGTATTACAACAAGGCTAACTCTATTTTCAAAATCTGATAGGTAATTACTAGAAAATTATGGCTATCAGAAGAAATGATAAGACAATCAGAGATGTGCCAAAGGTGTTCAGATTTTCCAAAAGGTAGACGGTAGTTTTTGAAAATTAAACTTTGACAGCAATCTCCAAAAAGTTCTAGGTAAGGTAAATTACCCAGAGTGTACTGATGGGTGTCAGCCTCGAGGAGGTCTCTAGCAGCATGCTCAAGGGCTATTTCTGACCCTGTCTTATTCTACTTTTTATCAATGACTTGAACGCAGACATAGAAGTTACAATTATTAAACCTACAGATGAAATAAAACTGGAAGAGAGAGCTACTATGTTGCATAACATGAAAAAAATCAAGACTCAAGAAGACCTTCAACAAGTAGCAGATATGCCCTGACCTAAAAAAAAACAAACAAAAAACTGTAAAGGGGATAAGTGTAAGGTCTTACATTTAGGTTCAATAAAACAACTGTACAATACCTAGGGGTTTTGATTTTAAAAGAACATGAGAGTTTTAATTGACTGTAAGCTCAGTATGAGCCAAGAACGGATTTACTCAAGAAAAAGAGCAAATACAATTTTACCCTGTATTAATAATGGTAGTGTCTAGCTCATGAGAATATATAGTTCAGTATATCCTCCCTAATCACTGTGGTCCATTCAGCACATCTTAGAATAAACATCGACAAAACGGAGCAATTCCCAAGGAAGGTAACCTAAATGATAAAGGATTTGGAATTTAGGATATTTGAGGAATTGGGATGTTTAATTTGCAAAAGAGAAAATCTGAGGGAATATGTAACCTGTCTTCAAATATCTGAGGAGCTATCATGTGGAAAAGGAATTGTGTTTAGTTCTATGTAGCTAACTCTAAACAGTAGAAATAATAGCTATGTATAAAAGTTACGTGGAATTCCATATAAAAAAAATCTTAACAGGACAATAAAATGGGCTAGCTTTATGGTGGGCGATGCACCCTCTATCACTAGAGTATTCAAACAGAGATTAGATTCATTTTCCACAAAAATGTATTGAGCACCTAGGTCCCAGGCAGTTTGTAAAGCACAGATGATGACAGTGAATAAAAAACTAACATGGTCTCTGCTTTAATGAGGGAAATTCTAATAATAGAGGCAAATAATCACACTAATAAATTTAAACTGACAAACAGATGAATCTCTGAAGAAAGGAATACAGTTCAAGAGCTTATAACAAAGGATCCTGACTTGTAATATGGGATCAGAACAGGCTTCCCTTGAGCAGCTGAGTGACCTATGAGGAGGGAAATGGTTGGGAGCAAAACATTACAAAGGAAGAAACAGCACATGTAAAGACCTTGTGATAAGAGAAGCCACTGTAGGTCCAAGGAATTGAAAGGCTTATAACCTGAACATACACAGTAAGGAGGGGAATAGAGAAAAGCAGGAGCAGAACCACAAAGGACCCTGTAGGCCCCGTTACAGATTTGGTGTCTTCTCCCAAAAGCAATGGGATGCTATTGAGGGAGGGGTTTAATGGACATGGGAGGAATAACCAATGTGGAGAATGACATACGGAGACCACTTAGGAGCTTCCCACAGTAGTTCATATCAGAAATGATAGTAGTGTTGGAAAAGGAGGTAAAAATGAAGACGTTACAGACATGGACAGGTTGGAGAGACTTTTAGGATTTTAAAATGACAGACCCAAGTGACCAGTCCAGTGGGTGATTTGGGTATAGTTTAAAGCAGCAATGCCCTCATAATCTGAAGGTCCTGAGTTCAGTATCATAAAGCAATGCCCCAAGCCAGATTCTTTGACTTCAATATCCTTCTTGGGGGGCGGGGGGGGAATAGAACTCAGTACTGAATTTCACTGGGGGATGAGATGAAGAGATACAAAGGATGACACCCCACCCCTGGTTTCTAACCTATATAAGTGGATGGATGGTAGTGCCATTCGCTGACATTGGAAACACAGGAAAAGTGCTAATTAGATGGGCTAAGATCATGGGTTTGGATTTGAACAAGCTGAATTTGACATGCCTTTAGTTTTGAATAGGCAGTTTGAAATACTGATCTTTAACTTAAAGGACAGATCTGGATTGGGAATAAAATATTGAGAAACGTTGACATATAGATAGTTGAAGCTGTGAGCTTAGAAGACTGCTGGAAGAGAATAGACAGTGTGAAGAGAGCTTTGAGGAATATCTGCATTGAATACCGGGGCAGAGGAGGGTGAGTCTGCAAAAGAGATGTATGAGTAAAAACAGGAGCAAGGTTTCACAGAAGCCATGAGATGGGGGTTTTCCACGAAGGAGGCAATGGTCAACAATGACACATGCTGTTGAGACATCAAGTAGGACAAGGAATGAAAAATGTCAATCGAGTTTAGGGACATGTCAGTGGGATGACAGGGCCAGAAATCAGACTGCAGTGCGTTGAAGGGTGAGTAGATGGTAAACAAATGGGAGACAATCAATGTAGGCAGTTCTATCAAGATCTCTGGCTGCAAAGTGGGGAGCAAACAGGTGACAGCTGTGGAAGTGGAGGATGGGTTTGTTTTAAGATGGGAGAGAAGCCTGAGTATGTTAAGATGGAGTGGGGGTTCCTGAGGAGGTGGGAAAAGACAGAATCTGAAGCATAGGTGGAGGGAGTAGCCATAGATAAAAAGTAGAGGCTGGGGGGGGGAGGGGGGGAGAAGAGAAAGAGGTCGAAATAAACGACCTTTAAGGTCTCTCTCTTCTCATTCTGGAATCTCATGACAATTTCCTTTAGGTAGGACATTTGCATGTATGCATAAATCTATGCAAACTTATTCAAATATTCTAGCATAAATAACCGGTCAAGCCCATCCTTATCCCCTAATGACGCAGTTAATGTTCCCAGGTTTATGACCAGTGTAATCTCTGGACGGATCCATCCCTCAGAGAGCTTTTAGCTCAACGCACACTGCAGAACACCACAGAACCAGCCCGATCTCCCCTAGCCAAACCCATACTACCCCGCGATCTTACAGGCTGAAGGAGGAAGTAAAATTTAAAACCCTGAAACTATAACATATCCTGCTGCGTTCAAAGTGACTGTCATTCATAAAAGCAAACGCGACACCCCAGGTCCCCACGGCAAGCTGAAGGCATTCCTGCCCGATCCAACAGTGGCGGTCCCCCAGATGCCGGGGTGTAACACTAAGTCATTTGCACTCCCTCCTTTCCCAAGACCTTTTATTGTTGAAGAGCCAGAAATAGGTTTCTAATGATCCTTCCCATAGCCCTCGCCCCAAAGCAGCAGGCGGCTCCCCCGCAGTTATTTCCGAGGCTGCACCTAATTAAGTCCTCGCAAGGGGGTACGGAGAAACCCCCAGAGTCCGTCAGACGGGGCTGGGACGGTCACAATCCTGCGGCCGCCTTGAGGAACGAGAGGAACAGCCCCAAGGGATGGAAAAGGAGAATTAAAGGAGACGCAGGAGACCCGGAAAGCGAGGGGGTCACCTCCCCTGGAGCTTTCTTAGGGGGATGGAGTTTTTGAGGAGGTCTATTTCCCTGCCACCGCTCCCCCTTCTCACCCTCAAGCCCTTCCTTCTCTGGACTGCCACCCCCTCCAACGCGCCATTTGCTCAGACCCACTCCTCCTCCCCTGGGGCCGCTTGAACCTCGGAGTGCCCGCAAGCCCGGCGCCCCCGCCTCCAGCCGCGGCTCCCGAGCCGGCACTCACCCGGCCCGCCATCTTCGCGGACACGTCCGGCTCCGCTGCGGCAGCTCCGTGCTCTGTAAAGCCCGCCCCCGCCGCGCGCGCGCGCGTTTGCCCGCATCCCTCCCTCGCGCAGGCGCGCAGCCACAGTAATGCTGCGCGCGCTCCCGGCCGCGTCCCCGCAGGGCGCGCGCGGGCGAGGCGGCCGCCAGGGTTGGGCGGGGCGGGGAGGCCATTTTGAACAGGAGCTGCTGGGGGCGTCGGGTGCAGTGACTATTCCTGGAGCGTCCGCGTCCGCCAGCGACTCTCATCACAGCTGGCCATTTGCGCCGGACTTTGTAGCAAGCCTTTTAGGATTTAATGAGTGAGCCCCTGCTTATCCTTTTGCCCGATGCTCTTTGCCCTTTAATGGCCTTTAGCTTTATGTTGCCAGGCCTACTGAAATGTGAACTTGTAAGAGCACCCAGCGCGAGTACTGGCCTGCTTACAAGGAAGATCAGTAATGAGTGGTTGGTTTTTGAATTCAAGTTCTGCGTGAATTCAGGCTTTTTTCTGTAGGCAGACTTGTTTTCCTAGCTGCTGGAAATTATCAACGTTGGCATGTATAGGTATTTAGCTTATGTGTAGCCTGGAAAATTCGTTAACATTTTCTTCTAATTTAAAAATGAATTGTGATTATTTCCATATTTTAATTTTTGTTATCTTAGTATCAAACATTTTATATTTATAAAGGTAATTTGTGTCTTTAACAACCTTTGTCATTCCCCAGTGTCGTTTCATTTTAGGCAGTATATATGGTGGATTTTGAAAGAAATATGCCCTAAATTTCGTTTCTCTCTCCCCAGTTTTTAACCTCTATGTTGTTTACTTTGTACAGCACCATTTTCTACTGGAAATACAGAATTGATCATCAGAATAGATAGCACTGTGTAAGAAGAGCGATTCTGCCAAATGGGTTCTCTGATGCTTTTATTACCCTCACTAGCTTATATTTCTCTTCACATTTACAAAAGGTAATAAACTGTAGGATTTGTTATCTTTCATTTCTCACAGCTAATTAAGAAAAATCGTTTTTCCCAACATGAGGAGAAGAAAGAAAAAAAACATTTAAGAGCTGGGCATGCTTAGCAATTTAAAATTAAGAACTAATAAATCAGTAAGTTGACCTGAAGATGGGCCAGAGACAGAAGAAAAAATTCAGGCCAGTTTCGTAAACTCTCACACTACCTGAGAGCCAAGAGTGCTTTGTTGGGCAAATCAGATGTTAACCAAATCACGGGTGGATCAGAAAGTTTATGAGGAAAGAACTGCCTGAACTCTGATCTATTAACTTGGAAAGCGATAAAAAACCATTAGAATGGATGGGGAGTCAGGAGTCTTAGGTTCTTGTCCTTTTCCTTGCTCTGCAACTCACTGGCCATGTCCCTTCACCTCTCTGAGCCCCTGTTTCCTTATTTGTAAAGTGAGACGTATAGTAATTAGATGAGCTTAATGATTGTGTCTTACATTTTTTGATGCTTTGAATTTTAATCTATAAAACAAAGAGCTTTTATTCAAATAATTACCAAATCCAGAAGATGACATCGGCTCTCAGTTCAGTGGTCTGACATTATTTTCAAAGCCAGAGAATAATGTAAATGTATTTATACCTCAGGTTTGTTACTAGGAAAACTAGATTATAAGGTAAAATGTCTTTAATCTCTCCAACCAGGAAGAATATTTATCACCTAGGAAAGATCGGTCTGCTGGAGAGGTTCCTGTTTGTTAGTTTATGAGCATATCTACCCATAATAAGGAACCCTTGTATCCTCTCACAAGTTGTATAAATGCAAATAGAATGATGTACACTGCTCTGCAGTGTCTACCAAAGAATCAGAGGCAGACATGAGGTCCTGTCCTGAAAGTGCTTAGCATCCAGCTGGAGGGGAAGATTCTGAGACTTTGCCCCAGGTTGTCACATGTCTGCCCATCCCATCTGTGCCTTGCTCTGATATTCAAGGTCATTTTATTATAGAAACAAAGTGGAGCTGATTTGGCATCACTTTCTGAGCAATCCTTGCAATGATAGTTGTCCCCGTTTTTGCTGTCCCCCTTTTTCTGTTCACAGCTCTCCCCAGTTTATGCAGCCTTGGAATTATTGTCAGACAAGGTACCCTTACCCAAGCGGGAGCACAGAACCCCAGGCAAGGACCTGTACCACTCCTCTTGGAGAAGATGTCACTGTAAAGCAGACAAAGGTGGTCTTCAAGGCCCCTTTTATACCCTTCCTTCTGCACCACCTCCTCTCTTTCCCAAGTTCTTTCAGCATTAGTAACCTAATATATTACTCTTCCCAGGAGTAAATGCAATTTAAGGAATATTGCCTGGGAGAGTAATGCCTAACCTAAAGAAAAAAATCTCCAATGGCCAAATTTCAGAGACTGTGACTTCTCTATTGTGAGCTATAAGTGGATAGCAGTCCTTATTCTTGCCTTTCCAATCATAACCCACAGGTTAGCCACCCCTGCCCTAAGGCCAGGTTTTCAGGGAGCCTTGATGAAAACTTCATTTTACAGCCCCATCTTAACCAGTTTTAGGAAGACAGAGTTGCCATCTGCTTGTTTTCTGTCGGAGAAACCTATTTGACTCAAATGATGGATAAGGCTAGAGAAAGGAACAAAATGGAGAAAGGATATGAATTTTAAAAGAAAGGAAGTCCAGCTGATGCAATGCAGCATTCTAGCTGCAGTCAGGTTTTTTGTTGGATTTTTTATTATTATTATTATTATTGAATATATTTTTCTTTTTAGAGGATCAATGACAAACACCCATCCATAGTCACGGAAATGAATTCATTATGAAAAGTCTGAGTGGGCAGGAGAGATGATAGAATCCTTCCTCCTTGGAAAAGAATGAACGTTGCTATGGGAACCAGACCATCCTTTAAGTGCAAGCCCCAATGCACTTGTCAGGCTGCCTAACCCTACATATTAACATTGTGAGTCCAGAGAGCTGCCTGCATCTCTTTGAAGAGAGATTATTCAGATATTGGCCTGATGAACCTTTATGCATCTTGAGAAAAGGAAGTCGGAGTCTCCTGGGAGGAGCTGCACTTCCTAGAACATTAAGACACTGGAGGCCCACAAACCATAGCTGATTGGGATGACTGTATTGGCTACCAGTGACAGCTTTCCAGAGGGCCCCTGAGAAAAAGTGCACGTATGTCTTAAGTTTTCTCCTAAGGGCAAGTTTACCAGAGGGCTGTTTCTAGGGCAAGAAACATGTACAGAAGGGCTTTCCAAAAGAGAGAGAAGACATCCCTTGAGCAGAAGTGTGACCAAAATATAGGGATAAGTTCAGTGATACTTGAGGGAAGGTGGTCTGGGTATACTATGCAACATTTAAACTCTAAACTCAAATGTTTTCATGAGAGAATTGGATGAGATAATTATCATACAGTACCTGATACATTCAGCACCTGACGCAGCGGTTACACAGCAGATACTACCACTACCAAGAGTACTATAATACTAATAACACTATTAACCAATTGTACAGTCTAACTCAGAGATGGGGAACTATCACCAAATAAGATGTTTCTCAGAGTGAAATCTCTGCTTCTCCCAAGAGCACTTTGTACTTTCCATGCTGTACAAATAACATTATATTGACAAGAAGCGTTTTCTATTAAGAAAAAAACTACCAGTGAATTAATATCACCATAAGCAATTTATCTTTATTGAGTCACCACAGTTGAGTTTGGTAAACTTCCCCTGAACGGCTGTCATGATTTCAATTAAACCTCCTTCCTAATCATCAGTTTTGTATTTTTAAAAAAATAAGTTGTTTTGCATTATAAAATTAGTACAACATTCTTTCAATCACTTAAAAGAAATCACAACCCCACTTCTTGAGTACAATCACCAGTAAATTAGGTCTATTTTCGTTTAGTCCTCCCCTATATATTCCCCATGCATGTTATTAAAAAATATAAAACATATGTATGTATAAAACATATGTATATAAAAACGTGTGTGTGTATATGGTTGTAATCCTTTAATAATTGAGTGTCATGTGGTTAGGGACTTTGTTTCATTCATAGGCACTATGAATATTATATCTTGGGAAAATAATACATATTCTCAGGTTGTGAGGAATGGAGGGATAAAGCCCTATTATTATCAGCCCCAATATTCCTTCTATAGGTACAAACAGTAGTAGGTAAAAATCTTATCTTTGCTATTTTACCTTTCTTTTGCTGGTTAGGATGACTCAAACAATGTTCATACTTGCTGGCAAAACAACTTTACATCTTTGCTTGGAAATTAGCAGAAGGACATGAATAGATAATTTGTAGTAGTGAAATAAAAATACTAGTAAAAAAATTGGAAAAAATTACAAGTAATCAAAGAAATGAAAATTAAACCAACATGAGGTACTTTTTTTTGGTTATCAAATTAGCAAAACACTAACCCTTTTATTAGCCCCGCCCACATGCCCCCAACCAATTGATCCGAATGTTTCCTTGGGCTAGTTTTCATAGGTCGCACGCAGCATTGAAGCGACATGGGCGTGTCTCGCTGGGACTTGATGAGCTGTCACTGGAAGGTGAACTGGGCAATTCCAGAGCTTCCTGCCGTTGCTTAGGTCGCGAGGGGCGGGCCTCCTCCCTCCAGGCTCTTAATTGATTTTTGCATTGGCCAGACTGTCGTCACTCACGAAACTTCGAGCTCATTGGTACGAAAGCTCCAAGAGGCGGTGGGTGATTGGTTGGGTGCTATTCCCGCCCCCGCTCCAGTCACCAACCATTTTGCAGAGTGGAGCGGAACTTCTCAAGGTTACTATGAGGATAGCAGTGATAGGTGTGGCGACAAAGTCGCGGGCTGTGGAGAGGGACAGCTGTAATTAAGGCCCCGCTGGAGTTCCGCACCGTCTGCGGGCAGGGAACTAGAGAGCATCGGGTGGCCTGCAGAGAGGCCCTCTTTCTCTTCTCCCTCTGTAGGGCAGAAAGCTGTGGGCATCCAAGGAAGGCTTGGCGCATCCGCCGCGGGGCCCTCCGCTTTCCCAAGGGCTGTCAGGTTGAGAGGGAGCAGCCTGCTAGCCGGGCAGAGAGGACATTCGGAGTCTTTCCCCAGGATCCGGCGCGCACCTCGCCCACCCG